ACGAAAAGTGGAGCGTTACAGCGGCGCCCCCAAAAACTCTGACCACCGCACGGGTAAAGCCGCGTTTCCCAGGTAGTGGCCTATGCAAGCCCGTCCCTGCCATGGCGCCAGAGGTGGTTGGTGGATATGTAGTGCGTATTTATTACTCCTCATTACACTTCAAGGATCTACAATGGCTTCTGGCACATGGCCTTCCCGGCCATCCATGATCCTAACCAACTCCGGAGTCCGGGATGGCCTCCGGAGTTCCGTTGTTTGCCGAAAGTCGATTGGCCCTTAATGGCTTGATATCCTCGGAGTCCTTGTTGGCCTCCAGCGGATCGATGGCCTCCAGAGACTCCGTGGGGCCCTGGAGACCATGTGGCCTCCGGAGGGGCTCCGTGACCCTACGGCGGCTGGCTGTCCTCCGGAGGCTCATCATGCCTCTGGAAGCCCATTAGCCTCTGGATGTTTAACAGCCCCGAGAGACTCAAATGACTTGGTTGCTTCTCCAGGGTAGGGGTGGCTCTGAACCGGAGGCTAGCTCCGTAAATCTGGAGCCATTCCCCCAACAGCTCCTACACTGTTTTCTCTCTTGCACCCATATGGATATATAATCATTTCTAGTTAATATTTTAGAGTGAAATAATGATTGCATATATATATATATATATATATATATATAATTTGTGGAAGGACTACTGACTTTGCCAGTGTATAATTCAAGAGCTAGTGAATTGACTTTGCTCACCCAATAGAACTTAATTTATAGAGCAATTTTATATTCCTTGAGGAATTTTATAGTCCTTGATTGTGTTGCTCCGCATTGAATATCTGAAGAAATAAGCTAACAAAAATTACTTTGGTTCACAGGATAAACATGGTCGGCCAACATAACAAAACTAATATTCTTCTTAATTTTGTTAACTTATTCCTTGAGATATTTAATGCGGAACAACACAATTATTCTTACTGCCTCCGTTCCAATATAAGTAAAGATGTGGGTTTTCGTTTCCAACGTTTGACCTTTTATCTTATTTGAAATTTATGATTAGTATTTTTTTATTAATACATGATAAAACATGAATAATACTTTATGTGAGACTGATTTTTTTTATTTTTTCATTAAATTTTTTCATAACAAACGGTCAAATGTTTAACACGAAAACCACGACTGCACTTATATTGGGACATATGTAATATCATATTGGACGTTCTCTCCTGTCTAATGCGGCAGATTAATTAGAGAGGTGATCATCAACAGTTTGCTAGGGCTCATAATCGAACCAGCATGCAGCTAGCTAGTTGTCACCTTGTGGTATGGAGAGTCCATCACTCAAAGTACATCCATCACAGTTGATACATCATATGATGTGAGAGCGCACGAGGAACTGCAGTCGTGTAGCTGCTACTGCGGCAAATTCTGCAAGCTGATCTGCTCTGAAGGCCGGTGGTCGACACACTCCACTTACTCTTTCTGCCATGCTGCTCCTCTAAATGTCACAGCATCAGCCAACATTTTTCCATCTGCCTCTCATTCCCAGTGCCACCCTTCTGTTTGAAAAATAAAATAAAATTTGGTACAACAGGCTGAACATGTAACACGAAATTTGCACCAATAAAAAACTTTTAGAAACTAATTAAAAAGTCTGTATCGAGCAAACATGCATCTACTAAATGTAGTACCCAGGGGAAACTAGAACATGTATATATATGAGCCTTTCTTAAATTTGGAGTTAGTTACACCTCAATTTGCTGGTGCAAGATCGAATGAAGTGTGGGCTGTGGCAGTTAATTGATAGAAAATTTATCTTTAGCGAGCGAAATGGTGTATATATGTGGTCAGGCAACCAATATAAGTCGACCATTAATTCCTGAGTTCCTGTCATTCTTTTAAGACAAAATTTGCTACAGGACACTGAAAGATTGCGGCCTTTGCTGTGAGACACCCGAAAATCATGTATTTACTCGTGGACACTGTAAAAAAGTGGTAATTAGCTGTTGGACACTCCTCCTATTATTTTATTATTTCCGGTCAAAATGGAGAGAGAAAGAGCTGTGTAAGTACCAAAATGCCCCTGGACACGTACTGTTCTTCCTCTCTCTCTTCTTTTCTTTTCCCCATTTCTCCTCGCGTCGGCGGCCGGCCTGAGCCAGGAGGGCTCGGCCACGGCGGGGTGGTGGCGGCGGCGGCAGCGCATCGCTGGGGCCGCTGACGGCAATGACGCACGGCGGCATCCTGGAGCACGGATGAGGTCTGCAATGTTTGGTCGGCAAAGCTTCCTCGCCTCCATGGTGCCACTGTAGCACAGCCCCACCCGCTCCAGCCCGGCTGCCTCCATCCGCGCTGACCACTGTCACGCCCACTCGTGCCGCTCCACCCGCTCCGCCCCCTCGCATGCCACCACGCTGCGGATCTCCATCCCGAGCAGCACGCGCTCCGCCGGCGCCGTCGTGCTCTGCTGCAGGCCGTCGAACAACGTCGCATAGTAGTTGAGCGTCGACGTCGATGCCGGGTGCGCCGCCATTACTGCTGCTGGGGAGTGAAGTGACAATGACGACAGCACGGACGCGTCGGGGCTCAATTGCAGCCGTGTGTTCAGCTCTCCCGTGAGCAGCTCGTTGAAGCTTCTCAGGCTAGAGCACGTGATGATCTGCTCCCATCGTCGACGGCGAGGAGGTGGTGCAGCAGGAGCACGATGCTCGGTTTGGTCGACACTAGAGCCGGAGTTCACTGCCGACGGTGACGACGCACGATGGCTCGGCCAGAGCGGAGCTCGGCGGCGGCGCAATGAGAAAGAGATGAACAGACAAAGAAAGGAAGAAGAACAGATAAAGAGAGATTGACAAGTGGGCCCATGGGCAAACTTGTCTTTAACCAAAGTTTCTCTCTCCATTTTGACCGGAAATAATAAAATAATGGGAGGAGTGTCCAGCAGCTAATTACCACTTTTTTCAGTGTCCATGAGCAAATACACAATCTTCAGGTGTCTCACAGCAAATGCCACAATCTTTTGGTGTCCTGTAGCAAATTTTGCCTTCTTTTAAATTAAAAAAAATATTGTCTGAGCATTTACAGGCCAGGTCGATCATCTACAAGACATACTCCCTCCATCCACAAAAGTTGCACCTATTTCACATTCGAGTTTTTTCAAATAAGTTATTCATATTTATAGTCTTTGTACATTCAAGACTTAAATGAAGAGATAAATTAAATGTTTTATTAGAACCCAAAGAGTCATCTAAAATACTCATTGGTTGCATGCTTACATTCATTCCTTGATTTTGTAACATCCAAGGTGATTTAATTTCTCCGTGGTCTTGGTGTCAAAAGTAACTTCTGTGGATGGAGGGAGTATTAATTAATTGTCGAAACTCTTAAAAGGAAGGCCGTATACCATCATTGGCATGCTCGAATTCTTTGAAGCTCTAGCCTAACGCCCTAACTAACTTCTACTGCTGCATATCAAATATTAGACCAGAGCACTCTTAACACATGAACTAAAATTTGTCGGCATGCTCAATATATCTTGTACATATGGATGAAAGCATACTATAGATGATAGAATTAGTCAAATGCTCTTTTTTACTTGTTTCTGAAGAACAGAAACGAGTGGCGGAGTCATAGGATCAAGCGAGGAGGGTCGAGAGTGAGATGTTGGGGAAGAATTTTATAAGTGGGTTCAAGGGTATTTTTGACCTTTCACACTGTTTATCTCTCCTATTCAGTCGGAAATTAATATTTGCGGTGTCCATTAGCAAATAACCACATTTTTTTGAGAGTGCATTTCCCCTGAAGATTGACTTTTGACGTGTCCTAGAGATAAAACCACAAAGTCACGTTATTGTATAGCAAAATTTGCCTAACAAGAAAGTCAATACAAGATTGGATCACCTTCTTTTGTCGAACTCGTAATTGGCAGTCGAATAATCTCTATGTGCTCTTTCACAGATTCCCCTCATTCCTATATTGGAAGTAAGCGGTGTGGTTAATTTGCCTCTTTCTTACGAAATTAGCAAGCCAGATAGTCCCCCCCTCCCCCTCAAATAGGAAAGTTTTTTTTTTTGAAGAAAAAACTAATTAAGGATGTGAACAAGGATATGGACCCATGAGTAGTTCACTCAAAAGATTGCATCTCTTCTCGCGCCTCCCTATATTCTTTTTTATCTCTATGTGGCCGACAAAAATTAGATGTACTTCTAGTTATATATATAGAGAAACATGGAGGGATATGAGTTAGACCAACAAACAAAAAGCATATAAGATATAACCATGTTAATGGTTGTGCAGCCTAGTATATGTGAATAATTGTGGTAATAATAAATGTCAATAGGACATGTCATATTAGGAGCAGGCCAATAGTTGATATAACTCTCCAAGACTGATTAATGTTTATATATTGGTAGTAACAATAATGCATGCATGCAAAGATAAATTCACTGTTGGCTCTAAATGTTTTTACGTCATCCACAACTAACCTTAGAGTCAATATGTAAAATAATCATCCCTCCACTCTGTCAAGTCATTAATGTTCGAGCCTACGTGGGTTTTTTTTTTATATCATCATTGATCGGAGTCCATATTATTGTACCTACTCTAATTAATGGTTTAACGTGACTACATATGTGTTGTCCAAGCCAACACACAATGTATGTATGATTCTTTAATGTCACCTAATATGAGAACTTGAATCCTATTATGAAAGTATATCACTACCAGAAACCGGACTAGGCCTGACGGCCAATTATTTAACTGACGTGTACAATGGCTCCTATCGCGAAAAATCTAATTTTCCTGACGAGCCTGTACTAACGTCAGAAAAATAGAATTTTCTTGACGAGGATTCACAACCTGTCACAATAATGCGATTTTTCTGACGTGAATGGAGCAGTAAGTGAAAATAATAGGTTTTGGTGGGAGTTAGGTGGGTAGCTATTTTCGCTTTGGCGCCAGATGGATGGATAGAGCGCCAAAAATATTGGTGTTTTGCGGGCACACATAAAAAAGAGAGAGAGAAAAAACCACTTCATTCACCACCCTGTCCAGAAGCCTCTTCACTTCTATCTAATCCTTCTCCTCTTCTCATCCCCTCCAGCCTCCTCTTCCTCTTACTCCAAATCTTTCAAATCCATCCAGCCTCTTCCTCTTCCCCACTCCAAATCCTTCAAATCCATCCAGCCTCTTCCTCTTCCCCACTCCAAATCATTCAAATCCACCCATGTAGGTTTCTCCCCTCGAATCCCCTTCATATTGCTGCTCTCCTGTGGCTAGGGTTTGCTCCAATGGTGGACTCGAAGATGTTGCCGCGTCGATCTGTGGCTGCAGCGCCTGTGGATTTGCTCCAAGTCCAGAGCTGAAGCTGCAGTCAATCCTTGCCTCATCTCCATCCAGATCAGGACCTAATCCCGGGACTCCGTCGACTCCTCTTGCTGCACTTGTTAAGCTGTAGGGAAGCAGGTACTTTTTTGTTTATTTTTAACGAACTCTGATAAAGCTTGCAGTTCTTAGGGATTTTCCTATGATTTGAGGCAATACTCCCATGGATCTGCTGGTTTTTTTTTCTCTAGAATTTCATTACAAGCTTTATACTGGTAGCATGGAATTTATCCTAAAGATCTTTAAATTTTGGCTGCTAGTTTGAATAAATCCCTCACTATTCGTAAGTATTAATTTCTTCAGCACTCTAAGCATGTCACTATCCTCCTGTCAATGAATGCTTTATTCTGTGATAATAGTAATTTTGTTGTTGTTTGGACTGTACAACATTTATGTTCCTATGAGAGAATAGTAATTTTAGCACAATTGAGCTTGTAGGCAGTGAATAAACTTTAAGCTTCATAAAAAGAGTGATTTTCTCTTAAAGGATGATACACCATCATCCTGGTGCATCTTAGTATAAGCATGACATACATATTTTTCTTGAAAGTTTCACCTTTACTATGCAAAATGGAACTGTAATGTTGGCTAATATTTACAGATTGTGTCGAACTCATCTGAAGTGCTGACAAGTTATTGCTTACCATCGTCTCATTGTCAATACCAAATCCGAGGTAACCAGGATTTTCAACTTACTTCACTGTAATATATTTTGTGCAGTAAGTGATAGAACAATAACAACCTTCACATGAACCTTTTCATTCTAAATGTTGATTATATTGTACATAATTTCTTTTTGTGCTATCCTTTGTGACGTGATTAATCAAGTAGATGATGTTATTTATGGTGTGATAAATAAGAGTGACATATATGCACGTTAAAATAATTTATTAAGAATTGAATCTGTTTTTAACCACAGAATGACAAGTCGTGAATGGATGTATAGTGGTTGGACACGTGGCAAAGCTCTCACTAATGAATGGATTGATAATACAACACAGTTCTTAAACCGTGCATTTTCTATGCAAGAAGTTGTTAAAGATGGTACTATTAAGTGTCCATGCGCCCAATGTCGGAATTATTTTAGGCACAAAAGGGATACAATAGAGTTGCACTTGTGCAAATACGGATATAAAGAGAACTATGGAATATGGACATCACATGGTGAGAGATCGGTGATAAATGACAATGATCCTGGGCCTTCATTAATAGATCATGAGGGATTTGGTGAATCTGATAGGATGGATAATATGTTGGTTGACTTAGCCAGTGCACAGCCACCAGAAAGTAGTGAAGAACCTGCACATTATGCTAAAGCATTCTATAGGATGGTTGCTAGTGCTGATGAATTGATCCATGAGAATACAACACATTCATGTCTCTCAGCTGTAGCTCGTTTGCTAGCTATGAAGTCACAGTATAACATGTCAGTTGCACATTATGATGATGTTTTAGGGATAATCCATGAATTCTTACCTCCTGAGTCTAAGTTGGCTAAGGACTTTTACCGTTCAAAAAAATTGCTAGAAGGTCTTGGTATGCCATATGTTAAAATTGATGTTTGTTACAACAACTGCATGCTTTATTACAAGGAAGATGAGCATAAAGAGAAGTGTGATTTCTGTGGTACTTCTCGTTATGAGAATGGCCAAAACAAAACCCCACGTAAAGTTTTGCGCTACCTGCCTATTAAAGATAGATTACAAAGGTTATATGCACATGAGGAGATAGCAAGATTATTGCAGTCCCATAGTCGCTCACAATCTGGTAACATGGTTCACCCATGTGATGGCGAGGCATGGCAACAATTTGATGAGGACTTTCAAGATTTTGCACAAGATCCAAGAAATGTTCGTCTTGCTTTAGCAACTGATGGGTTTACTCCATATAGTTTAGGTGCTGCTCCATACTATTGCTGGCCAGTATTTATAACTCCCTTAAATTTCCCTCCCGGTGTGTGTATGAGGCCCGAGTACACATTCCTTACCCTTGTCATCCCTGGACCAGAGCATCCAGGGAAAAAAATAAGTGTTCTAATGCAACCTTTAGTTGATGAACTTCTGAAGTTATGGGAGGGGGTAGAAACCTGGGATGCTTCACGCAAGCAAAACTTTACAATGAAGGCAATATTTCTATGGTCAATCCATGACTTTCCTGCCTATGGGATGTTTGCTGGGTGGAGCACCCATGGTCGTTTGGCATGTCCAATTTGTATGGGTGATTCTCAATCTTTTCAGCTCCGTAATGGTAGAAAGCCTTGTTGGTTTGATTGTCATAGACGCTTTCTACCCAACGAACATGAATTCAGAACTCAACTAAATGCATTTAGAAAGAACACATTTATGCTTGATGAGCCACCAAGGATTCTGACAGGAGAAGAAATTAAAGAAGAAATGTACGCGTGTGTGGATGATACGGAAAACTTTGGTAAAACACACCATTGGACTCATATAAGCTGTTTTTGGCAACTTCCATACTTTGATAAGCTGAAGCTGCGGCACAATATTGATTTGATGCACAATGAGAAAAATGTAGCTGAATCTATATGGAACACATGCTTTGACATACAAGATAAAACAAAGGATAATGTGAAGGCAAGGAAAGTTTTGGTTGAAATTTGTAGTCGTCCATTACTGCAATTAGTGTCAGAGGGTAATGGAAAATGGCATAAACCAGAGGCATCATTTTGTATTGATAGGGATGACAAAACAACAATTCTCAAATGGTTTCAAGAACTAAAGTTTCCTGATGGATATGCTGCCAATATTAGGCGTGGGGTTAACCTACTACAAAGAAAAATTTTTGGCCTAAAAAGTCATGACTACCATGCTTTCATGGAACGTTTGCTACTTGTTGCATTCCGTGGATTTATTCCAGAGAGTGTTTGGAAGTGTTTGGCAGAGCTCAGTTTTTTTTATAGGCAGTTATGTGCAAAAGAACTAAACAAGGATACCATCCGCTCTTTAGAAGAGAATGTAGCTGTTCTTATTTGCAAGTTGGAAAAAATATTCCCACCTGGTTTCTTTAATCCAATGCAACATCTCATCATACATCTTCCCTATGAAGCTCGACTTGGAGGTCCTGTCCAATTTCGTTGGAATTATCCATATGAGAGGTAAGACAAGAAGTAAAACATTAACTTGTTTTTGTAGAGTTTATTGACCCTAATGCATTTGGTCCTGCCATGTAGGTTTATCCAAAAACTTAGAAAGAAAGTGCGAAATAAAGCTCGAGTTGAGGGTTCCATTGTTGAGGCCTACCTAGTTGAGGAAACATCTAATTTTCTTTCACTCTATTTCAATCCTAAAGTTCGGTCTGCTAGAAACAAGATGCCTCGATATGATGATGGTAGCTCACAATTTGATAGTACATCCAACCTAGAAATATTTTAGTACTCTGGCCGGTATATTAGCCCACGGGGCTGCCATGCACTCACAATAGAAGAGTACAAGGCTGCTACCTTATACATATTGACAAACACACCAGAAATGGATGATTTCTTCAAGTACGTTTCAAATCTACTATGAGTCATTCATATATTTTTATGCCATAATTATAAATAAATTTATTAATGTAGTAAATATGATAAGGAACAATGGAAGAGCCGAATTTCACCAACACCAAATCAGTTGCGAGACTTGCGATTAAATGGATGGAAATCTGGTCGTGGCATTAGAAATGGGCCTAATTTCTTTGATTGGTTCAGAACTGAAGTATGACTCTAACCACTTGAGACATTGTCTTTCCTTCAATGTGCAATCAACTAAAACTAACACTAATATCTGTCATTTGCAGTGCATGAAGTCATCTAGTATACACAATGCTTTGCGTCAAATGTCATATGGTTTTTGAAGTACAGTTTCCACTTATGGAGTTTATGATATCAATGGATATAGGTTTCGTTCAGAGAAGTATGAGAGCAAGAAATCAGGGTTAACAACAACCAATAGTGGGGTGTGTGTGTCTTGTGTTGGCGAAAACAATGATGTGCTAGAGTACTATGGTATTATTAGTTGGGAAGGCAGCATGAACCTTGAATTGGTTTTGTTTGACTGTTATTGGTTTGACCCAACATCTACCGGTGTTCGACGTACTGACAATTTGGGTTTAGTTGAAATTAAGCACACGTCTAGGCTTTCAACTTTTGAACCATTTGTGATGGCTAGTCAAGTTACACAAGTATATTATTTGCCTTACCCATGCACTACAAGACGTGATCTATCATAATGGTGGGTTGTACATCATGTCAATCCACGGGGTTATGTCCAGAAAGCTGAGAACACAAATAATGATTCCAACCCAAATGATGATCAAACCCAAGATGTATCATTCTATCAAGAAGATGGATTGGAAGGCACTTTTATTATTGACCTTGGGGCTGACTTAGGAAATATGACTCCACCTATTTTGGATGAGATAACCAATGCAAAAGACTTAGAATTCCTAGAAAAGCAAATGCAGGCTGAAGATAATTACGATGAAGATGACAATGAAGATGAAGAAGAGGAAGAAGAAGAAGAAGAAGAAGAAGAAGAAGAAAAAGAAAATGATGAAGAAGATGAAGGGCCACAGCCCCCAGCTTATGATCCAAATGATTTTTAGTTTAAGCTATTGAGATTGAAATATCTATTGTATTTTGTGTCTGTTAATTTATTTATGCAGCTGCCAACTTTCATATGACTTTTTAAGCTTTAAGTACCTAAGGTCATTTTGTACTTTATAAAGGTTTTATATTAAGCACTGATGGATTATTATTTGTTTGAATGATTCCATGCTATGAAAATATATGCTATTATTCTTCTTTTTTTATGGACCGATGGTGCTCTTCTAAAACTAATAAATGGATATAACATTGCAAGAAATGAACGGCATTGATCGGAAGCGGCTTGCAAGACAGCAACAATGCAGGAACATCTCTACAAGGAGCAATGCTAGTGCTACTAATGCAAAAAACAGAGTCCCGGAAATGATTAATGGAGGTGGCAGTAGTAACTCCGGTGCTAACTCCTCCCAAAGACTTTGTGCTGGTAATAGTAGCAATACTGATAATGCCTCCCAAGCCACCAATATTGCTGGAAGTGGCATGAGCAGTGCGCCACCAAATAAAAGAGGGAGGAAGAAGGGCTCAAGAACTGCACTAAAAGTACCTCCGCGGGGTCGAAAGATCGCGCTGAAACCTCGGGGTGATGAGTAAGTATCTGCATTTCTAGAACCCTACAGATTTTCTACTAATGCTTATTACTTTGTTAACTGCTCCAATAAATTAGAGGCTGTCTTTATTTCTGTTCTGTAGAATTTATATTGTTCAAAGCCGATATGTTTGTGACGTGATAAATTGAGTAGCATACAAGTTCTTCAAATCTAATATGTGTATGTATACAAAAGCTCTGTACATGTGTTGTCTATGTTTTTCTCCTCTTAATGGAACAATTCTCACATGGGTGTTTTCTTTAGGCAATTTGAGTACGTAACATACCCTCTATTGAAATCAGACCCCAAATATGGTACACATATGGGAATTATTCTTAAACGAGAATACCCTGGCATTATTGAAGAGAAGGATGAGAATGGTGTAATCATCAGCAGCCGTCCAGCAACCTCATGGTTTGATTACTATGAAAAGGAAGACGACTCAGGAGTCACAAAGGCAGATAAGGTGAAGCAAGAATTTTGGGTAAGTCATTGTTAAAATGTCCTTCAAATTACATTGACAAGCAATTAAATTGCTATCTAATATATATTAACTTGGTACATGCAGAATGCATTCTGTGTCAGTGAGGCGGACAAGGTAGAGGCTGACCGTGTTTTGGAAAATTATGCAGCGAAATCAGTGAGGCAAATGATGTATCAGCTTTGTGTCGATTCTGTCAAGGTGTACCATGATAAAATTGGGGAGGAGATTGATGATGCATTAGCACGCCCAAAGGAACTTGAAGTTGATGAATATAAGGATGGCCCCGTTGATTGGTGCAGAGACAATGGATTTTCATACATTGCAGATTATTGGTGTACTGAAGAGTTCAAGGCAAAAAGAAAGAGAGGCCAACAAGCACGCCTTAATTCTGAGGATGTTGCCCAAAACCGAGGAGGTTCCCGGCCATTCACAGAGACACAACAATATATGGTACCATATCTTTTTAGCATGGTTTTTCATTAGTTTTATTCATAGGGTATTGCTCATCAAACCAATTATGTTTTAGGGAGTAAAATTTGGACCTGAGAAAGCTACAACACTAAACACTTTTAGTGCAATGAAGACTGGCTTTAAAAATATAGATAATGATGGAAATATTGGACCAATCCCAAGCCAGAAAGCACAAAAGCATGTGGTATGGTTTCTGCTTCTATTCTTTCCATTGAAGGAATGTTTTGTTTGGTACTAAATTCCAACCTTTTTGTAGACTGATTATTTAACAGGTCTTAGGGCTAAATATCCAGATGATTGGCAACAAAGAGACCTAGATGAGAATGTATTGTACAGCACCAATGGTGGCTTGCCACATGGTCGCGTACAGATAGCGAATGGAGCTGTTAGGAAGGCTAATATTTTGGCTGTGGCCAAATCAACAAATGTTCGACCTGCCAATTCAATTGCTTTCCAAAATATGGCTCGACAAAATGAACAACTACTCCGGGAGAATCAATACATGCGCAAAAAACAGGAACGAACTGACAAGTTGTTATTGGTATGAAGTTACAATAATACTTTTACTCTCAGTTTTACTCTCAGTTTTAGTTTTTAGTTTCTAAACCCAGTTGGCTACTTTTTAAATGTAGGCACTTTATGAAAAGTTGGGTGAACAAGTACCACAAGAATTGGACTGTCCAGTAGAAGAGGAAGATCCATTTGCACAGGTAAGCGGAGTTCAATTATTTTAGTTATTTACCTAAGTATTTTCTCCTATACTGCTGCGGTTACTCATAGATGAACTAGCTGAATATTTATATTGTGCCAGTACAATTTGGTTGCCCTATTGAAATAGCAAACTAATTTGCATTGGTATGTCAGAGTGAGAACAGACAATGCAGCACTTACAGTGAGGGATTGGGCTCATGTTGATTGTTGTAACAGTTGGCCTTGTAGTCACATTCTCAAATAATTGAGATGGTAAGACAAAATATATTATTTTAATTTGAGATGACTTGCATCTTGCACAAAACAGAAAATTGGTTTAGAAGGTTATAGTTACTCCAACATTTGTTCAATATAGTACAAAAGGATTGCATAGGAACTTTGATAGACCACTGTGTATTACTTATTGTTTCTTCTAGTTGCATCGGCATGCGTTTTCACTTTTCAGTACTGGTTAATTGGACTGAATTCTTATAAACTTCATTTCGAACTGCTGCAGGGAACAAGTTCTTCCCGTGTAGTCTCACAGCCAGTTGAGGACAATGGGAACAACAACAGCGATGGATATAACACCGCCTCTGGCAATGGTGGCAATAACAACAGCGACAACAACTGCAATGGCAATAATACTAGCAGTTTGAATGCCAATGATGGAAGCAACATCGGTGGGAACAACAACTCTGGTGGTTGTAATACTAGCACATCTTGATTGCCTCTCCATGATGCTACCACTCACTTCACTAACAGATCATGCAAGATGGGCTAAGGCTTTTGGATATACTGACTGTGGAGTTGTGTCATACTAATACTTTTGGATAGGTTGTATTTATGGTTCTAAACCTCGATAGAATGTGGGACTCCAAAATTAGTACTAAGTTTCTTACATAGTATCTTGGCCATGCAAACTCCACAAAGTGACACTTTTGTGTTATGTTCAAATGGTGAACTGGAACTACATTATACTGTTATGAGGGATCTATGTGTATCACTTGATCCATAAGTTAACGAAATATTGAACTTGAACTGGAGGTGTGTATGTGATCATGATGAATACTGGAAATGAGTACTTTTGCTATTGTACTGTGTATATTTGATTCATGCTTACGTTCTGGTAGGTTTTCTCCTGATGATTTGCGGCTAGTTGTCTAACTGTCAGGGAAATATATTTTCCTGACTGTCATAACCATCAGAAAAAACCACTGCAAAACTGTGACAGGGGAGACCATCAGCGATAGATGAATATCGATGACTGCTCACATCAACGTCAGGAAAAGTATCCCTGACGTGAGTACACGTCAGGAAAATTAATCCTGATGCGCCTCCGTCACCTAAATTTATTTTTCTCTGACAAGCTAGTCCTGACGGAATTTTCCTGACGTTGACACATCACAAACAATTTTTCTGACGTGCATTTGTTTTATCCTGACGGTTTTTAGCCGTCATAAGTAATCTAGTTTCTGGTAGTGTATGAGACGTCGTATATATAACTAGTGTGTCACGAGTATATATATGTATGACACTAAAGTGAATATATAGTGCCATTATATATATTCTTAGTAATCACTCTAAATTGTAATTACACATGCATGTGCAATCCATCACACATGATATATTCCAATGGACGCTTAATTAAATCAATTAGCTATTCTTTCGGTACAAATCTAAACCCCTTTTGAGCTCTTATTCTAGTTTGTCTCCGATTCTTCCACACCTAATTAGGGAGTCAAACTACAGTACATAGGCAATTGAGTGTACATTCTTCTAGCTGGATTGCAAAGCTATATGAAGTGTATATGGGGACTGCGGCAGTTGCCAAGATTCAAATTGGTCTTGTCAGAGATTTCCATGATATTAGACCTAATTCCTAAGCAAATTATCTCTCCCCAGTGCCACCTATCCCCAACACTACACAACCATGACCCATCTATGCTACATTATTGTTACTTGGAAAACTGAAAGCTTCGCAATAGCAAGCTAGATGGTTGGAGGCGTTCACTCAAAAATAATTGAAGTGGAGGAGAGGAAATAAGAGAGTAAGAAGATGGTGAACTTTTAGTTGTTTCGCTTGAGTTTACTTGGGGACAAGAATGAATCAAATGGAACTTATGTCCAATCCACACTTCGGAGGTTGTGCCATTAAGTTGGCCCGTTCTGTATACCAGTAGGATACTTGGTGACTTAACATGCATGGACTGAAGAGTTGGGCTCCATCAAGTGTAGTCATACGTTTTTGTTCAAAACCTAGATAGTTCAATTGTCCCAAATTTAGTCCAGCTGGTTAATTAAACAATTAAGTCCCTTTAACTCCCTGCAATATAGGTACAATCTTATTCGAATCCCTTTAGCCATAATATCAAATGTTTTGAGCCCTCAACTATTAGAACCAATGCAATTTAACTTCCTTTGTGGTTTTGATAGTGGATTTCGCTTGTGTGACACTTTGACAAGTCCAACCGGCTAAGTTAGCAAGTGGGGCCCACATGTCACCGTTCCTAACTCTTCTTCTTCCTCCTCGTCTTCCCTTCATCCCTTTCCTTTCTGCTGAGGCGGTGGCATGGAGAGGCACTGGGAGGAAAGATGGAGGAGGGAGGCTACGCCTGGTCGGTCCGCCATTCACGCGTGTGTCGCGCGTCAGGAGATCTCTCTGGCACGGACCGATGAATGGTGATAAAACTCTGCCAATACGTGTACCACCTAGTACTATTACTTCTGCATGTGGCAGCTCCATTTTTTTTTATTTAGGCACTAGGCTGCTACGAGGACATCACATCATCAAATACCACGCTCAATGCTGCCATAGGAGTCACTTTGTACCGTTTTAATAGTTTGGGGAGTCATTACACCCGGTTTTACGC